AACTGTCGTTTTTCCCCACATTCTTTGAACAGTTAAGAGCTTTTACAAACTAATATCTGAATGATAAACAGTTAATGTATCGTGTTATTTAGACATGTTTAATGCCCTGGCAACTGTCATTAACATTTTCACATTCTTCTTCAAATGAACAATGTGTAACATTTAGGGGGATTTATTGGCAGGTATTGAATTTAATATTCATAACTGTTGTAATCAGTGTATAACCCTCCAGAACTAAGAATCATTATGTTTTCCTCAGCTTAGAAAAAGCAAAGAGCTGAGACAAAGCAGCCAGGAGGAGAGAGGACCGGAGGAATGACTGACACTATACAGATGCTCGTTTTCTTTCCACCGTTTCAGTGGATTTGATTCAGAGGGATGATTTTTTTATTTCCTCCTCCACATCAGGCCATGGTTTGGGTATTGCCGACGGCTCGTTGTGGGTCATGCTGAAGAAATAGCCAAATGGTGCTGCTGAAGTCTCTAAATGTGATAAAGGGCTCTGACTTTACAGAGCTAAAAAAGCTCACCCTTATTAATTACTATTTTCTCCAAGCAAAATGTTCCTATTAATTAAAATTTGGAGCTGTTCAGAGAGCAGTGGAGTGATATATTAACTTACTTTGATGTACATGTTGACATTTATGTTCTCTGTGGATATCACTTCTGATCAGGTGTGAATCTCTCAGTATTGATCCCTCACATTGTAGGCTGAGTGAATGGTAATTTATTTGAAGCTTTACTTTTTCCTGAATTTGTTTTATTATAACACCATCAATAATAATAAGTTTATTTATATAGCACTTATTAAAACCAGAAATTTCAAAGTGTATTCTCTTTTTTGCTAAAATAGTAAAAGTACTCATGTCACGGGCGTGGCGGAGGACTCAAGTGCAGACAAGACCAGAAGTAGAGTGAAGCAGGTATTTAATGAATGATGAGATCAAAACAGGAAACTTGCAGAAACACAACAGGGAATCCACGGACAAGACAAGAGACAAGGGGTGAAATCCAGCAGGATGAGGCAGGGCAGGCAGCCGGTGAAACAAGGAACAGGACAAGCCAAACAGGCGGGTAGACATGGCAATGATCTGGCAAAGAGTGACTGAGAGGCAGGGGTTTAAATAGTGGCTTGAACAGGTGAGGGGAGTTGTGCTGATGAGGAGGGAGTGCTTGATTATTGATCAGAGGCAGGTGAAGGGAGTTAGGCTGGGCTGAGGGAGTGGCTGACAGGTAGAGTGAGGAGGGTGAAGCTACACAAAGACACACATAGAACACAGAACGCAAAGCCTAATTGTGACACATCATGCACAATGGCTCATTTCATAATAATACATTTATTATATTATAAGATTACAATTATTGATGCATGAATGTGTAAATATTGCAGCTGGTAAATGTGGAGCTCCTCTTAATATATTTATATATATTTATTTATTAAATAGCTTGTGAATTTCACCCCAGGGATATAGTTTTATTGATATAATGATGTAATTTATTTATTTATATTTTTAATAAGAATCAGGAAAGTAATTAAATCTGTCAGATAAATGTAGTGCAGTAAAAAGTGAATTTTTCCCTCTGAGATGTAGTAGAGTACAGGTATAGAGTTGCAGAAAAGGGAAATACAAGTACCTCAAAATTGTACTTACCTTGAGTAAAAGTACCACTCCTGATGAACACAGATGACCCACGAATGCAACAGAAATGGAACATTGATGTTTCTTCAGAAAAGAAACACATCAATGAACAAATCATTGGAAAAACACATTTTAAACTTTAAACGTAAAAAAAACAACACAGTTTATTCATATTTATGATGTATTTGTGGAGCAGCAACACACTATAACAGGGTTCCTACGCATCCTGGAAAAACCATCGACCATGTTTCCAGTCATTGAAAACACATGGAAAAAAGAAAGTCAAATTTAATTGTCCATGAAATTCTTGAGTTGTCCCGGAAAAGTATTTCAACATTTTCCTACTTTCCTTTGTAGCTGAGAATAATATAAGGCTGTCTGTCAGAGCTCCCCAAAACAGACACATTGCCATGTGACTAAGTTATGTTCAGCATCAAATTAACCTTCAAATGATAGTTTATGAATGAGAGTATTTTGAACAGGCTGCTCTCTGTTATGTTGTGGAAACACTCTGAACAAATCTGGAAAATGATCCCCAGAACAAAGTGGGAACCCTGTTTTCAAACGCTTCCTGTTGTGGGCTCAGCTCACCACACCCACCAGTGATGTAACACAGTGAGCAGTAGTGTGACACTTCAGCCACCAGGCAGCAGCAGAACTGTTCTCTCAGGTATTAGCTGGAGGTAACCGCATCACTTTCAATGATGGGAACAGGATTAATGTGGTTATTAAGAAGGCTGGCGCTATGATTGGTTTAACCTTGTTGTTCTTGTAATCACTGTATCTCAGATGTTTGCAAGACTTAACTGGTTTTTAGAGGTTTTAACATGAATTTACTGGGACAGTGGTACTGAAATGTGTGTGTATATGATAATGTATATCTAACAGGTTTTCATCAACTGTGTTTTAAAGAAATGGAGACTTTCTGTACAACAACGCTGTTTTTATTCATTCACTTTCTTCACATGAGAGAAGTTTCCTTTTACCCTCAAAGCAAATGTGAAGCCACAGAACACAGAGCGTCACTGGGACTGCAGACTCAACGTCGTTTCAGTTTGTCCACAATATATTTAAAGAGGAAAGAAGATAAAAAACAACCTTCATCAATGTTTCTCTGCTGTTTATAAAGGCGCTTTATACAACATTGGGAGCATTTCTACTGCCTCCTAACGGCTCTCAACATGGCGACAACTGAGTCGGCAGCTAACGGTGCTAACAGTGCAAAGTATGGCAACAGTGCTGACGGACTTTACGCTTCCGCGATGACCGAAGGCATTATCATCTGTAACAGCCGTATGAGCGCAGCGCAGAGCCATTAGCTGGCCACCGCAGCACGTTCACATGCACTAACATGCACTAAAAGCAAGCATGGCTGGCCCGGCTATGTAAACAAAGCACAGAGAAGCATGGATTACAACACACACACACACACACACACACACACACACACACACACGCAGGGAGAGTGACTTCATTCTCTGCTCAGCTAGACATCACTCCACTATATCTTTACATAGCAAATAGTTTGCTGGTTTATAAATGCTCTGAATATAGGATTTAACACATTTATTGACCTTCCGATCACACATGTTATACATGGTTCTTATGTTTTTTTTAGATAAAACCAAAAACCTCAATAAATTACATAAATAAATAAATAAATACAAATGATTGATGTCACAAATCTGGTGTAAAGAAGCTTTAAAAAAAATAATTTAGACTGTGGGGAGATAACATTAAAAAAAAATAAGTTGTTGGTCACCTGACCTTACTCTGCCTGCACACCTGTCCCTATTACCGCACTAGGATTTACCTTTTACTCATTTAGCCCCACAGCATAAACACACCAGCCCAGTTACTGTAGTTCTCAGAGTAAAAACTTGTTTCCATCCACAAAGTGAATTTGATTTCATATTATAAGCCAGGCAGCTGCGACCATGTTGGCTCCACCCAGTCACAACAACTCTCCAAGCTTACTAACTGCTAATTTTAGCAAATTGATTTGAGTGTGAAATTTAGCCACTTTAAATGCTGGAGTGACCAGTGAACCACCGGTTCTGATGGATTAGTTTGATCTGTTTTTGACCATAATTCCTGCAACGCGTGTGTGTTGGAGTTCTCTTTCCTGTTGCAAAGCGCTTTACTCAAGATAATTTAATTTAATAATTGAACTTTCTAAATATGATGAACCCCTAAATTGAACCACAGCTAAGTTCTACTAGGAGCTATGCTGTTTGTTTAAATCTCACACTTGTGAAAACTACATGAATATGCTACGGTAAGAATTTTTAAACTGGAACCTAAAGTTACTTATTTCCCTCCTGCAGCCCCAGCTTACACAGCCACTTTTCATATTGCTAAAGCTGGAGTAGTAACAGGGAGGATGCGGTGAGATCTCGGACACAAAACATGTCAAAAAGCAGATTTTACAGTGAAAGGGAACACATGGCACATTTTTCCAGAAGTGCACAAAATGTGATCAGCATGGACTCACTGACGTGTAAATCATATAACAGATGCAGGATGAACGTGTGCTTATGGGCTTGTTGCTCTCCAACTTTAGTTTGTTGCGTTTGTGCTTTGAAAAAGTTTTAAGCTCACTTATGTTTCGGGAAATATACCAAACTGTCAAGTAAAGGCAGTTCAAATATACAGCGGCTGCACACACATGTGCTCATGTACAGTCCTCTTTCCTGCTAGTTAAAGGAACAGTTCAACATTTAAAAGTCCTCTTATCTTGATTCTGCAGAAGAAGGATATCAGCACAGAGAGACTTAGCTTAGCACAACAATCCTTGAAGCACCTACATTACCTGCAATGCTACTCAACCTGCTTACAGTTATGAGGGAGATTGTGCCGTGTTGTGCTAGCTAGCAGCTAATGTAGCCAACATTTAAATTTGGATGATTATGATAGAGGTTAGCCAGCAGTTTCCCCCTGCTTCCAGTATTTATGCTAAGCTAGGCTAAAGGCGTCTCTTTGTCCTGGAAAAACGGGTATCCATCTGAAACATCTGACTCTGACGACGATTCCCAAAATGTTGCACTGTTTCTATAAATCCTATTTACAGTTTGCACAGTTGCGTGCTTCCACTGCTGCTCCATCAGCAGCTACATGTTGATGCTATCGGATGTTGTATCCGGTGAGTCTGACAGAGATAAAAACGGAGTGAAGGGCCGGCTTGTGCTTGTGGAAATCAATGAAGCCTTTTCGGAGTTTTTGATGTATTAACAATGTCTTCTGTTTCCTCTGCGGCCCTGTCAGCTTGCCAGACCACCTGCTGTACTGTGTTTATGTGGAGGGTCAAGACCGTTAGCTTGCATGTGGGCGTTCCTCTAATGACAGCAGGAAGCAGAGCTGACTCAGAGCAGGAAAGATCCTGCCGTTTGCGGTCACAACCACCAAGAAGAGAATCGTAATGGAAAGGTCACTGGTCTTTTTAGATAAAGGAATACTTCACTGCAGTTTGGCCTTATCTGTAGCTGCTTAATGGTTGAATTTATGATCAATACGTGGTGAAAAGTCATAAGGCCACTAGCCGTAAGGTGTGGTCTCAATATGCAAAAATTAAACAAGTGCCCCCCTCCTCCACTAGGGGACCCCAGCCAAACCCTATGCAAGGACTGTGGGCTAAACTAAAGCGCGCTTAATAGCGAGGTGACTATGTGGCTAATATATTAGCACGCTAACTGGGCTTCCCGAGGAGACATAATAGTGTTGAGTTACTTAAACTGATTTTTGAATCCTGTTGTTGGCCTTGCTTTCTTTAAGTCTGTGTTTGGCCCACGCGCTGCTAATTGACCATTTACTAAACCCAATGATTGTCCAATTTTAGCTTAGCAGCTGTAACTATGGCACAGCAGATAGTGACGACACTTATTTCTCATGGCTCCCAAATAAGTGTCAAGTCTCAGGTTGGTTTTGGGATATTTTGTTTATGTAAAGCTTGGGTCTCTGGTTGGGTTCATGTTTACCCAGTGCCCACTGGGAATAGTGTACCCAATGGGTTGCTTTAGACTTGCAAGCTAATGATCAGTAACTGATGAAACAGAGAAAATATAAAGGTTTCCGGGTATCAAATTTTGTAGTACCAGTTGGGTCTTAAAGGTTTTGAGTGTCAGTTTTAGGCCCATGCAGAATGTTAACTACATCTCAGCGTTCGCTATTAATCCTGGGTAATGTAGGAGCTGCTAAAACAAATTAGAGCTAGACTATGATAAGAAAAATGTACTTTATCTGTCAACACTTTTTAATCCACTTAATATTTGCCACTGCTCTACAACAATTTCCCATTGGGATAAATTAAGTTATATCTAATGTATCTTTTGCTAGTTACATTGGCTTGGGTCAAGATTCACAATAAAATCAGTGGAGTATTCCTCTATAATAATATTATTATAATCGTTGGTGGTGGTAGCCGTTAGATGGGTCTGTATATATACATACTGTACATATATATATATATATATATTTTTTTTTTTTTCTTTATAAGTATTTTGGGGCCACAAACACAACAACTGGCCCACAACCAGTTCAGGGCCAGAAGGAGCCCCAAGGCCCTGGTATAAATAAAAGTTTTCATTATCAGTCGGTCTCATCATTTTGTTCCTCGGGGCTTTAGTGTTCAGACGGATGGTGGAGGAGAGCCATCAAACAAGACCCATCCTCTGTGATGCAGAACTGGGGAAAGATGGGAGAGGGAGTCTCTATGGGAACTCGTCAGCAGACTTCCCCTCCTGCCTCCTCTGCTGTTTCCGCATCTCCACAGCGAGTCTGCCGCCCGCCCGCTCTACATGATGCTGCACTTCCCCTTCAACTTGTCGGCTCGTTTCTGTTTTCCCGAGCGCTTGCCGTCGATGCTCAGGCTCATGTCCCTCTTCTTCTCCAGGGACAGCAGCTCCTGAAACAGTTCCTTCACATTGGAGTTCGTCTTGGCCGACGTCTCCATAAAGGCACACTTCCAGGTGGCGGCCTGAGCCTCGGCCTCCTTCTTCTCCACCTCGCGCTGGGCCGTTTCGTCACTTTTGTTGCCCACAAGCATGATGGGAATGGACTCCACCGTACCTTTGATGGCCAGGACCTGGAGGGGACATTGGATCAAGTCAACACTACCTATTTAGAGAACATTCCTGATGCAGCTATACATTTTTCAAACTTCAACTGTAGTAAAAATCTTCAGAAATAAAGATTAAGCAAAGAAAGTGCACCCCGTTTGTTCTACTGGTGCCTAACAGAAACTGATAAATATTATCAGTATTTTATTTGGAGCTGAATTTCAAAGAACCCCAAAGCTCGTCTCTACGTAGAAAATCAGACCAAGTTACTGTAGCTAATTACTCATCACATCCAAAAGTAAAATAATGATTTGTGACTGCTACTATGTAGTTTTTCCCAATTATGGTTCTCATGACAAACTGCTGCTAAGTCACGACTTAAAGTCAAAGTTGAAGATATCTGATATCTAATGATCCTGTTGACAACTGTTTCACTTTGGCTATTGAGCTAACGTAAGCCAGCATAAGAGCTAACGTGACATGAGCTAACGTATGCTAGCAGTTTAACAGGACAAGCTACTGCTTAACTCTGAGTTCTGAAAGTCCTCATTTAAAATGATGACGTTAAACACTGATGTGAGACACTTTAATGCACAACCAGAGAGTTCAACTGTTTGCTATCTGCTGCCGTAAGCTGTCGGTCAGGACTCCACTGCTATCTAGCTAATACGATCGATTGGTAGCCTATTTATAGATTCTAGAGATTTAAATGACCAAGTCAAAAATAATTTAACTTGGTAATTATTTTTTTTCTGGAAGCCATATCAAACACGATACTACTACATTATTATAATATAATATATACATTATGTGTTTTTTATGTCTCATATGTCATGTTTAGAATATAAAAACAACAGAGTGACATTTTTAACAAACTATCTTCTGCTTTTTGTGCATGTTTACTAGATAGCACCTTCATTTTGTCTTTTGGCAAACATCAAACTCATTTAATTAACATTAATTGACTCCAGCTGATAAAATCTAAACATGAGATTCCTTAATGTCATGCATGATAACTGGGTGCAGAGGTTGAAGAGACGGGACACCGAACATAAGCTTTTGATGCTTTTATGGGGGTTCAGTTTGGATTTCTTATTTAAATGTCCAACAGTACACAAAAGAACGTACATCAGGGGTTCCTGCAGCTTATTATAACGGAGGCAGCCCACCTTACCTGGAATAAAGACCACCCTTGCTAACATCAGAAGAAAATAATTATACCTTCATTAAATATTCTTGAGGATAAAAAAAGACCCTAAAGTAATTGTAACTGTTAGTCGGTCACCTAAACTAAATGAAAGACTCTGACCTGCTGGTAAATGGGTTTCAGCTCTTCCAGTGATTGGCGGCTGGTGATGGAGAAGACCAAGATGAAGGCGTGGCCCTTGGAGATGGAAAGGCGCTGCATTGCTGGAAACTGGTGACTTCCTGTTGTGTCGGTGATCTGCAGCGTGCAGACGCTCTTATCACAGCTGATCACCTGCAGAGAGAACCGGTACTGATGAAGTCTTTATCACGTGAGCATCAATGACACACACGCAGGGTGTTTAAATAAAAAGAATAGTTTTCATGTCTTACCTGTCTGTATGTGTCCTCCACAGTGGGAATGTAGGTGTCTCTGAAGGTACCTTTGACGAACCGAAGGACCAGCGAGCTCTTCCCCACCCCGCCGGCTCCGAACACCACCACCCGGTAGTCGTTGCTCTGCTCTGGCATTCTGGGAGTGTGAGTGTGCCCGCTCTGGATAGCTGACCTGTATGCTGAGAAGGAGATGGAAAGAGGAAAAGAATCACAGCAGAAATGAAAGAGAAACCTGGACGTGAATTTAAAGCACACATAATGTAATGTTGTAGTCCAAGTTGCGTATGATGTCTCGAGTTTCAGGTTGATTTAGATTCTTTTTGGTAGATTTTTCCAAGATGGACATCACCATTTTTTTGAAATCAACCAAATATAATGAATAGTAATAGAAAAGACAATATCTGGTAATACTTTAGAAGCAGGAGTAAAAGGGAAAGCGGGAAATGAGCATAAACTCCACTCACACTGTTCCTACAGAGCGAGGCAGGAACAGACAAACGATCTGAATGTAATTAGTCTGAGTGCCATCAACGGTAACTGGTAAATGAAAACCACTCTAGTGGTTTTATTCTGGGAGAGTCCTTCAGCTGGATGCCCGACATGCTCAAAGTGCAGATTATCTCCATTACAATGAGCATGTCATTTAGAAGCTTCAGTGCATCAGTCCCCCTACTCGTTATGTCCACTGTTAGCAAGCCCAGCAGCCAATAGTTCGGTTGTTTGGTTCAGGTTAGCTCACCGATATTTTATTTCTTTAGCAGCTAAACAAGTTAGCTTAAAGTTTAATTTAGCAGCTAAACATGTAGCCTAAAGTTAGATTTAGATTTAGCAGTTTGGTGAAGGCTCGCTAATGATATACATATATGAGAATATAAAACAGTTGGTGAAGGTTATAAATACATACAAGCTAGCTCTTTGTAGTTTTGGTAAATGGTTTTAGCGATTGTTCCAGGTTAGCTAACTGGTTCAAGTGATTAAATTGTTCAATTTTGTAGCTTAAACTATTCAGTTGAGCAGGTTTTTGTTTTAAGTTTGCAAACAGTTCAGTTAAGCAAACGTGTTGGTTCAGATTAGCAAATAGTATATCAATAATTATAATTGAATATATACATAGAAACTCAAAATACATTTTCCAAGTCAATGCTTCATTTACCTTATGCGATTTGGGGTGCCAGGTAACCCTGCCAATAGTACAAAACCACACTTATAGCTGTGTGTTTGGATTTCAGCTGGTACAACTGAAGAATGTGGCTGAGGTCTTATTTATTTATTTATTCACAGTTCAATTTAGCTGTTTGTTTTATTTCAGGTTAAATCACTTTGTTGTAGTGACTTGTTCACAAACGACGATTTTGGTTAGTTCAGTGTAGCTTCATTCTATCTTGTATTCAGCTGAAAAATATCATTTGAATGCAAGCAAGAAAACTTAAATATGTGAATGGTGTATATGATAGGCCTGCTGTATATGAACCTGTGTGTTTTCTATGTGACAGAGAGTAAGTGATGAATAAATGCTGCTGTGACGAGCCTGTTTTGTATTGCAGCTGCAGCTCTGTGACATTTAAATCTTCGGTGTCCGCAACACGTGGACATCTGATGAGCGCCTCGCCCCCTCTGAACTCTCACAGCGTATTCACAGATAACGTGACAAACGGGAATGGATTAAAAAAGACGGAGCGAAGGGCCTCGGGGAGTTTCCCAGCATGCCGAGCTGTATTCCCCCCGGCAGAATGATTAACGAGCATCGATTAGAGCTTTGCATCTCGTTGAAGAAGAGAGCTGATAGAAACCAGGGAGGAGGAAACACTACTGAAGGGGTTTCAACGTGGTGTGGAAAAAAACGTGATTTCCCTGTAATAAATCTCTGATCTACTTCTTTATATACTCCCACTCACAGAGGACAGCCTCCCGCAGCTCACAGATCCAGACTGTAATAACGTCTGTAGAACAGGAGATACCATAACACCATCCGGTTCTTTCCACCCACTGCCTCTCGCTGTATGAGCCAAGCTGACGGTCTACCTTTCAAACAGCATAAGGGTTCTGTAGACCTGTTCCTGTATGCGTGTATGTATAACTTATCAAATTCACACTTTTCGCATTAATTAATAACACTCAGATCTAATAAATACAACACTCAGTAAACCTCAGTCCAGTTTGTAAATCAAGAACATGGCTAGAGTGCATTTACATTTCAGTCCATCTCAAAAGCTTCTGGGACGCTTTGACACATTTTGGTATCGGTTGAAATACTGTTCTGACCAGCCGAGCGGTTTAAAGACCAATTCACACCTTGCGACCCCGGGTCTTGAAGTGTGGACAAATAGTTGGACCCCCCCCCTAACTCCCTGCGCCTGTCAACCAGAACTGAAGAAGCCCTTTTGAAGAGAGGTGTAATATATCAAGAGTCCAGCTGCCTTTTTGGCTTCTGGATAACTCATCAGGCTTTCTTCTAACTGACACAAACACCAGACTGCATGTAAATACAATTTAAAAACAGTGTTCCCCGTGTTTAAATTCAGATCAGAACACTGACATCAGCGCTCATTATCTCAACCACAAATTTAGACCAGTGACTAATCAGCAGCTCGTTAATAAATCACACACACGCACCTGCCTCCTGACAGCATCCATTGTGTTTCTGGATGTAACCATGGGAGCATCTGAATGTGCGTGTGTGTGTGTGTGAGTTGTCTGGTTGCCGTGGCGATGCTGCTCGGAGGAGAGGAGAGAGAGATAGACAGCAGAGATTTATACACTCGCAGAGAAGTGCAAACATGTCATCATCGGCAGGGCCGTTGCCATGGTTACCCGCCTGCCCACATCATCTGACGTCACTTCCGGTGCGGAGGCGGATGGCAGGGAAAACACCACCGACTGAACCAAAGGCATCACAGCTACGGGAATAAATGTGCTTTCATCACTCACGGGACAAAACTGTAAAATATAATATACACAGTGAGATTATTATCATTATGTTATCCCTTCATGTTAGGACTTTGTTGATGTCGGTCTGCCTCATACATGATTAGGAAAGAAACACCTCCCCCTGTACTATATTCTCATTTCATTTTTTTCTTTAAACAGTCTCCTCAGCATCACCGTCGTTCCACTTTTGTTTGGCGGACGTGTCTAAATACTACAATACCCATAAGACTCCTTCAGTAAGAAACAAGTCACAGTTGACCCAGAATTTAGAATTGAATCATCTTTAGCTTCGGGTCGCCGATCGATAGCGATGCGCGTCACACACTGTGAGGCTCTGTGATTGGGTGTTTGTTTGTCGGTGAAATGCATACTGGGAGTAGTAGTTGACTTCCCCTGCTTCATTTTTTATGGCCACAGGTGTAACGAGCTGAGACAGTGTGATGAACCGACGAGGACCTCTGTTCTGTCCTTAGTTTGGAGAGTTGGTTGGATTGATAAGGTTTAGGCATGAGCAGGGAGATTGGTTGGGGTTAGGGTAAGAATATCAAGGTAAGCCAATCAGAGGGAGAGTAGGTCGGGTCAAGCCTTCGCCATAGTAGGAAGAAAAAAAATATCGCACCCCAAGACTGAGCCCCGTGGTGCTCCGTACAAAGATATCAGTATGCAAACTGGAATACATGATGGTGGTGCTACCGGAAAATCAATGACTAAATCAAATCAGTTGTTCTCACATGTCACATTTTCTTACAAATGTGGAAGGTAATAACGTGAGTGTATGATAGGCAGTCAATAGTGTCTGAGTAAACACAGCAGGCTAACATGCTGCCACCAGCATGCTAATATTCTAGAATGCTGTGCTAGCTAATCAACAGCAGGAAGCAATCAACACAAGTGGTGTCATTTTTCCTACTCTCTAAAATGAGAAGGTGTAAACTATACGACATCAGACTGATAGGAAAAGCAGAACGAGAATAGATATCACACACACACACACACACAACCACACACAGTGTTTTGTCTCCTGCACTGATAAAACTGATTCCCTGTAGACCTGTGTGTGTATGTGTGTGCATGTGTGTGTGTGTGTGTGTGTGTGTGAGTGACGAGTGTGTATGTTGCAGTTTAACACCTTCAGTTTGACTCCTCACATCCTTCTCACTCACAGTTTCTGCTGAACATTTCCAGATTTAATATTCTCCTCTCAGCTCCAGCTTCAATCTCATCTCCAAAAAAACACATTGTATTATAAATATAATACTAGATATCATTATAATCTATTATAATTATTTTTATTATAACCTGTATAAATATATGACAACAAAATATATTGTAAAGTCCTAAATGTTGACAAATCAAAAGGAAAATGAGTAGGAGTTTCTTTTTATGATCTAGTGTTTCTGAGTCTGTACTCGTATCAGCGGTGCCGGTGTACCAGTGGAAGTTACAGCACCAGTTATTAATTGTGGTAGTAGAACTAACAAGAGTAATGATAATACCGGTACTTAGTTTAATCACAACTAAAACTTCTTTTAAACTCAAAGACTGAGCAGAGACTCTTGCAACACAATATCTTATGTCATCACGTTGTATACTATAATATTTGGATGTAGCTGCATTATAAAATAAGTATATTACTTAATGCATCCGTAACAATTATTCAATAACATGATATAATTGGCCATTTTGCTGCAGGATGGATTGTTTTTCTATACTTCAATAGGCTTCATGTTGCCAGGCTACTTCTGTAACCTATTAATGGAGTATTATTGTATTGCCTAATTTTGCATCTGACTACTGATTCCATCACTGCTAATACTACTCTGAGGAGTATTTAGACTGTATCATATTTATCTTTACCAGTAAAGTATTCCTATATATCTACATCGGTGATGATATTTGACGGCTGTAACAGACTTTCGTGCTCTCTGTCTTCAAGAAACACAACATACTTGTATGCTACAAAACACACACGCACACACCTGACCCGCTGCTTTGTTCTCAGTTTCAATCAGCAGCCGGGCATCATTATCTCCTCACATCATGGTAATCAGTCTGACTCCCATTCAAAGTAAGGACGGCACGGGCACGCGCACAGCTGGGCACGCGCCCTCAGTAGTTTGGATGAACGTGTACACGCACACACACGCACACGCACAAACACACACACACACACAGTCATGCAGACACGTACACAGTGATGACTGCTGTTTGTCCTGCTCCCCGCTGTCGGTGTGTAAGGTCGGCTGTGATGTCTGCGGACTCACCGTGTGTCTCCTCAGGCGGGGTCCTCGGTCTCTCTCTGTACGGGGTTTGTCTACTCTGGAGCGGCTGTGAGCATGCTGAACCCTCCGCTCTCTGACTCACAGCATCAGCATCATCATCATCATCATCATCATCAGACCTGCTGCTGATCAGAACACATCAGCCCTCCTCTTCCTCCTCCCACCATCAGCATCACCTCCCCCCTCCGCTCCGCCGGCAAAAAAACAGGAAACAAGACTTTCGCTCGGGTTTTTTCTTTTGATCTTCAGAATAAAAGCACGATATCGCTCAACCTACATAAATAAGTCAAACATTGTCAAAAACATGAATTTCCCGCATGAAATCCAAACAGTTGGAGCAAGCAGTCATTTAAATCCATTTAAGTAAGATAAAACATAAAAATCCGGCCATATAGAAGACCGAGTCTTGTTATAGTTGTAAAATGTTATTTCATGTGGTATTTTGATGCCAGACGACCATTCTGGTGAAATATAGGTCACAATGAATTAACTACATATAATAAGAAATGATTGTTTTTACTTTTATTTTGAAGGTTGTAACTGCGAAGCGGAAGTCTTATTTTCAGCTCGGACCTTGACATCTCATCATCATCGTCCTCCAAAGTATAAATACATTTTCCCTCCACCTCCATCAGCGTCACTCATGCGTCATCAACAGAAAAAGTAGAATGGAGTAAAAAAACCTTATGAAACATGAACAACATTACACTAGAAACAGATACACTGTAATGATGACGATGCTTTAAGTTCAAGAAATATATTTTTATGACGAGAAAATATTAAAGATCTTGGTTTTTGAAATAACAGTTAATTATGATATTAAAGAAAAATATGATTGTGTTACTTAACATACAGTATTTCAGATAGATGTCATTGTGTTTCATCAGATCGTTTTAGATTGTATCAGAGAAAGAACTGCAGATCATTTATTATTACTAATAATGTTACAGAAACTGTGTTTTGAAAAAAAGACAGAAAATAGTGAGATAGAATATTTATATTTTCATTCTCGACATCTATGACAGTGACAGAAAGACAATAAACAAGCAGGACGAGCTGTTTTGGAAGAAGTACTTTTACTGAAGTAAAAATACTAATACACTGCAATACTTGTGTGCAGGTCCAGACCTTTTTAATCCGCCCACTCCACTAAGGTTGACTGCCTGAAGATGGAAACGGAGAGTAGCGAGTTGCCAATTCTGCCTGATATCATGGCAAATACTCGACTAAGTTAAAGTCCTGCCTTAAAAAGTATGTATTACTGGCAAAAGGTACTCAAACTAAGTAAAACGATTCATTGTGCATTCAAATCTTTCCTGTCAGTGTTTTACTACATGAATATGAATTACTACATTAATGTGTATGTTGCATGTTACTGTTTAAAGTTCAAGGCTGACAGCAGTGAGTGATCAATAACTGATTCATTATTGCATGTTGCATCAGGAGAAACTGTGGATGTTTCTGTGAGTCTCACTGTGAAGAGAAAAACAAAATCAGGAAGCTGATCCCAAGACCTGTGGTAACCTCTAGTGGACAGTTGGAGTACTCCAAAAGAAAACAAATGAAACACACACACGTCTTTACAACAATTCATTTTTATTTTCATTGTAATGAAGTCCATACCTTTTATATTTTTTTATCATCACAATTGCAATTAGCTCAGTGGTAGACAATCACTGGTCCCAAGGGCCAAATTCAGCCTTCCTGCTAAAATATTTTTGGCCCGCCTAGAGCCCGCCTTTATAGTTCTGCTGCGGGACTCTAACTCTGCAACAACGGAGAAACCTGGAGGGTGATTGGAACGGGCCTGCCTGATCTAAACCTGAGTGGTGCTTTGTTATGGGACTTCTTTGCATGAATTGGCCATAACAAACATGATGTTTCAGCACAGGCTGAGTCATTAGTACTTGGTATCAGAAGAACTTGGACACCTTGATCGATGAGGGACTTTGTGGTCGTGTCGTCAGATCTTTATGTCGGTATGTCCGGGACACTCAAGGGTAAATAGAGGAACAAGAGCTGTCAACTGATCACCACCTGGTGAGAGTTGGATCAGATGGAGGAAGGAAACTGCCAGACAGACCTGGTTAATCCAAAAGTGGAGTGAGGGTGAACTGGGAACAGCTCAAGCCCCTCCCTGTCCACAAGGTCCCACTTCCAGAAGAATTTCTCATTTGTCCCTGGGGGAGCCTTGGCACATGGAGCCATGTTCAAAACCTTTATTGAAAGTGGCAAAGGAGTTGAAGGAGGCATTTCAGGCTCGGTTGGCCCAGAAGTCCCATTAAGCAGCAGACCGACACTAGAAGGGCTTTGTGCCTTAAGAGGTCACAGAGGCAAAATCCAGGTGTTGGAGGAGTTCGGAGTGAAAGAGAAGGGATTTCAGTTAGCCTCAAAGAAGTTCTGGTAATCAGTTAGAAGCAGGGCTTGGCTCACGATGAGCGTGCTCTAATTATCTGGGTACACTGCTCAGCCTCATTCCAAGGTGTTGGTAAAGGGCGCTCCAACTGATTTGTCAAACCCCCAAATCTAGGAGTAGCAATGGGGATTCCCTCACGGAACAGTGGACCGGCTCTTCATCCCTGCAGGGTTGTCGGGGTTCATGGGAGTTTGTATGTGTTTTGTGGACTTGGAGAGGGCTGTGGGAGTCATGTTGGGGTTACTGCAGGAGCATGGGGGGGGGGGGGGGGGTAATATGGGAAGCAATCCACTAGAAAACAGTGGATCTCTCCCTCTGGGTTGGGAGAGATTAGGTCAATATTATAGTATAGTACGGCTATTCTCAACCACTGGGGCTGGGACCCAAAGGTGGGCATCAGAACAGCATCTAGTGCCCACTATGTACTGCCAAATGGTTGGATTAGATAAAAACAAATGTCTTCAGGTAAACAAACGTGTCTTGCCACTGTTAGCTAACATTCTCTCTGACGCAGTGACACAATATAGATCCATTTTTGAAGTGAAAAAGTGACGTGGGAGACAACAAAGCTCCAAAGCATATAGTGAGGAAATCAGAGCCCCGAAACCAGAAGGACCCACGGTGACACAGTTGTCACAGACACTAGAAAGTTCCTAGAAAGTTCCTTATACAGTTTTATCCTTGATTTTAAATCTTGAAGTCCCTATAAGTGACACATACTGGTGAGATCATGTGACAGTGAGTTAATTTGGTTTCCCATGACATCACTTCCAAAATGTCTGTCTGGCTGGTCAGCATGTTTGACAGAACTAGCTAATTTCAAAAGCTTGTTTTTGTTGCTAAAGGTAAGTAATTTAACAATTCTAGTGCTTTGTTAACACGTCCTATATTGACAGATATGTCACATCAGGCTTTTAAAATTATAATTGTCTCAGAAAAACCAATGTAAGTTATTTGTCACAATAGGAAAAATAGTAATGAGCTGCTCAATTTATTTAGCTGATTCAATCATTTTTAATTAAAATACATTCTGTTGTTGAATTCAAAAGACATTTAAACAAATGTAAACAAAAAGTCAAATTTATTAAATAATTGTCAAATTAATTATGAAAGAATTATGAAATTATGAAAGAAAAATGTAACTCGATGTAACTATCCTATTTTGGTCCTATTTCAAAGTTATTTCATTATTCTTTTGCAGTATGGATAAGAATGAACCACTGAAGATCATCCAAGGAGAAGACATTTTTTGTCCTGTAAAACAAATTTGAAAAAGATTTTTTGGTTAAATCCAACCATAAAAGTTATAATTTTGATATTAAGTTGTCGTGTTGTGGAAATGCAACTAAAATGGCATATATTTGTTACCAAGCAAAAAAAAGGCCAAGTTGATTCATTTTCAAATGAGGAATACATTTATACGTAAACACCCAATGTGACATTTATGTAACATTTCAGATCTTTGGCTCTAGGGGGTAGTATTTAGAAAATATGTTCAGAAATGTGCTCCATTTCCCCTTTAGTCTGTTTTATATCCCACATAATTTTTCTCTAAGGAAAAATTGGTTTGGGCTCTTATGGTTTGATTGTGGATTCCTTAAAGGCAGGCGATGATGGGTGAGGGTATAATATATTGTGGTCATTACAGAGGACAGTGGCTTATTTACAGCCCTGTTTATTATTATTTTTTCATGTTATAATTTTTTTTCCTTTGGTAAGGTGTTCCTCAGATTTTTTTAAATAATCAGAAATGGGCCTTAAATTACAAAAGGTTGAGAATATTGAGTATTTTTGATTGAAATGAATATATGTTTCATAAACAGATGAAATGAAACAGAGACCTACACTTAAGCATCCCCTCTCTCTCTCTCCCTCTCCCCCCATCTCTCTCTCTCTCTCTCTCTCTCTCTCTCTCTCTCTCTCTCTCAGTGATCTTCAGCTCAGCTTGGAGTCATGAGGTAAGAGCAGACCGCACCTTATATTTCTGCCTTTAACTCACATTGATCTCGCATTGCATGTGTTTATATTTTTAACCCGGGATAAACCATCCGGTCTGGTTCTTCCCGGCTGTACAGCTACAAAAGCTCGTTGATCAGCGCCGATCAGACGGGAGGAGGCTGGTGGGTCCGGATTACAAAACCTGCATCTTTTAAATCTGATTCTAAAGGTTTAAATCACATGTTTATGGATTAAACTCGGTTTATAAAGCTGCGTTTGATCATCTTTTCATTTAGGCGAATTCCTCATTAGGCCTATGCGTCTGTTTTTTTTTGTTGCGGGATGCGTCCTATTTTCTTTCTCCTCCCTCTTGCGGGCACAGGGATGGAGGATGGAGGAGCTGATGAATCATAGATGTCGTCAGAACAGAAAACAAAAAAAACAAAAACCACACATATCCGAGGTCAAACGTTAGAACAGGAAAACAGAAGGAGAAACATAGTTCACACTTTTATTTTGTAAATTAAACGATGAATATGTCGCTGTTAGAAAATCATCAAATTCTTTGCAGCTGCGTGAAAACGCGATTTTTCACACGTGAACGTGT